CCACCAACTTGTACGAGTAGTGTCAACGATGTCAATTTGCCTGCCGCTAACTGGTGTCGCGTTGCCTCTAATTAGCAGACGAGGCGTTGACAACGTAACTTGTAATTACTGAAGCACGGTCCATTCTCACGACCACGATATGACGTCCATTTAGTTTTGTATATTTTATGCTATAACTAGCTGTTCCCATGCAGCTTCATCCGCATGAAGTTATAATATCTTTATTTTATTGTTTACATTTGTCAAATTCTTAATGTCAAAATTACCATTACCACAATAAACTTGCTTTCTTAATGTTGGTAGCTTGTAGTTTATGGTCTCTTTCCCCATTAAGATTTTTTCCCAATATATTTAACCCATAAGTGTATATCAAAGTATATCATTGGCACCAAAACTGAGTTTGTGTCAATGTTGTAAAATTAATCTAAATTTTAAAAAGAAACTGTAAGGTAAGAAGAGACAGAGAATAATAATCTTATATTTTCTTATTCTTTGTTCTTCTCAGCTTAATCTAAATTAATTAAACGCCTTCATAAACATTTAACAACTGTACTACATAATCTAGATATCCCGTCATCACCTTCTAGAAGGCGGAAGATGTCACTCCACAGACCTTCGTTAGTATCCTTGCGTTGATTGGCCAAATCCTGGAAGACCTGGACACATCCCGAGTTTACATCTCGTTCATAACACTAGGTTAGACAACTAAGTTCGTGTTAAATTATCTTTTAGCGGGAATTTAAATATTTACATTGATTTATTTTCTAAGTAAGAAAGTATAAAATAACATCGAAATCTTTCTTCTTACTAATATTATAAATCAGAAAGTTTAGGTTGATGTTTGTTAGTTTTTAGCCTAAACTGCAGAACGAATCTCGATGAAATTTATCACCGATGTAGAGGATAGTCTGGAAGAACATAGGCTACTTACTTTTGTTTTATAATTCCACGTATAGTAGCGAAGCTAGTATGTACATATTTCTTTCGTCCTTAGATACCTGGCGTTTTTTCTTGGTAAGGACAAAACATTACTTAATATTTCACGCCATTCTAACTGTAACACGCGTTAAATACACGATAAAGTTACATAAGATGCATAGAAGGCAGCATTTAGTACGCAAAATAAATATGGCGTCGCCAGTCATTGATCTAAGGTAGGTTTACAAAAGGTGGGCAACCTAGTGGCGACGCCCACATCAGTGTATTATTTTCTTATTTTCGATTTCATATAAAAATAAATGACGACTAGGATTTTTCGCAATTGTTTATACATTTATTTATGCAATCAAGATTTCTAAGACTAAGTAATTCTCATATCTTTAATGCCCTAATTGGGAAATAGACAGCTTATTTGTAAATAATATTAAATGTAGATTAACGTGAGGACATATTTTTTATTACCTCAAAGTAATTCTACTAAAAGTTTTCTCTTAAAAAGAAATAAAACATAAAAAGCGAAACATGCACTCAACGAAGGAAGTATCCTTTAAAAATAAAACCGAAAGATTTACATGAACAAAAAAACTCTCAACGGATCGTTTTCTTTTTCTCCGTTTAAAAGCGCTCCTTTCAGAGAACGAGCGTGTCCTTTTCACAAACAACAAACCGCACAGTGCTACACTGTGCTATTAAAAGGATGCATCTTACACGTGCTGAAACGAAAGACTTGGGACTTAAACTACGACATAATTAAAAAAAAAAAGACTAGAGATAACTTATGTAGACTTAAAATTATTTATTTAGGACTTGTATATATCAATTTAGCAGTAGGTTAATAGATCTTTAAGACCATTAAATTGATTTTTTTAGAGTTTTTGAAGTATAAAATGTAAAAAATTTAACAATAAACGAGGATTTAAAACCGGTATGTAATTATTTACTTGCAGTCGTTTAACACTATGTCTACTTAACTAATTAAGAACAAACAAACAATAAAAGTTAATTTAAAAGTAAATATTATCGAGACTGGCAGACAGATTGGCGCCGCAGAATAAACATGGAATTAAGATAAGATCTTAACAAATTAGCATATAAACGTGGATTTCCACTGACGAAATATACCAAAAAATGTCCTCAACTGCCCTCAAATATAAAGTCACATTTATAGTGGAAACGCACGGTAAATATCAGTTGGAAAGAATATTGCGTTAAGCTTACAATTGGGTCATGAACTACATTTCAGTCGCCCTCACGCCATGGCATTTATGCCCTATACTATAATTAAACATCTTGTTTTAACCTAAGGTTCTAACGATGACATTTCTCACATTATTTCACCTTAATTCTAAAGGGTACTCTGAATTGTCGTGGAATATTTATAACTAGCTTTCGCCCGCGACTGCGTACAAGTGTACAAACTCTAACAAACATCAATCCATCCATCCATCTAAACTTTCGCATTTATAATAAGTAAGATTAAGAATTAAAATGATACCCAGTGTATCACGACATTGTTGATTGCTTACTGTAAACAGTCAATTGTCATTTGTATTGAAATTACACTAACTTCAGAGGGTTATTCGAATATACTTCTACTATATTACTTCATCAATCATAACTTGCGTTAAATAACAAATCAAGCAGACCAGTGTTATGCTGAAGAAAATCGATGAATAATTTACTGGGAAAGAGAAATTGCATTCCAATTCAATCGCAACACCTGATCGTAATAATCGCTCATTGTAATGAACTGTGATATCACAGCTTTTTATGTATTTTCTACCTATTAACTATCAAGTAAACATTTCAAGGATGAATTAGTTATCAAGATAGAAGTTAAAGATATGATATCTCTGATAAAGAATTCAATTAACGTCAACAATATTGTCGTAAAGAGGAACAATTCAAAGATATATTTATATTGTTCCCTTGAGTTCGACTCGAGGTCAATATGTCACGCACCGGTACCGGCACGCCCTCCACAAACAGGTGCCTCTTGTCAGTTAGGTGAACATCGATATCTGAATATTCAATTACGTCTCTCAGACGATCCAAACGCTGGACCCCTCTACGTAACGTTGCTCATATAAAAACAAGCCATTCTTCGTTTAAAATTTGAATGAAATACCCTATCAAATGTCAACTAATACATAAAAAAAGTTTTAATGACAATGGGTAAAAGACGTGTACCATTCCGATACATTTGTATGCTCTCGTTGGCACTAGAAACGGTAGTAAGGGGTTTTTGTGTGAGCATGCGCGCCGCTCAAGGACACGCACCGCGCCTCAGTGTAGCGAGAGGCAGCGCCGCGACTGCCCGCAGCCCCCAGACCAGCGCAGCCCGGGCCTATGTCCCACGGGGCGCAGCGCAGCCCCGGCCAGCACGGCGCAGCCCCGGCGCCGGTGCCCGCACGCAGGGCCACGCTCGCCACCGAAGCCCCGCGCTCGCTGCGATTCAGTCTCGTAATTGGATTTTGACGTTCAATAAGCGAAGTAGTGCTAACTGATCGAGTGCTTTCCGCTTCGATATCGCAGCTTGCTTGACCGATTTCTTGCCGGGGCCCAGCTTTGTGTGTAAACGCTTTGTATGTCTGATAGAATGATATCGCGTAGATACGAGGCCTTACGTAACGTTACATTACGGAGCCACCGGTGCATCACGATGCGATAGTAACGTGGCCCTCAGGCGAGTGTAGGCAGCCGCGGACGGTAGACGCGAGCCGAGCACAGCACGCAACATGACTTGCTGGGAGACTGTAGGACTGCTAGGCCCTTGCGCTCTGCTCGCTTCCACCGATGTCAGGGTGAGTCTGCTATATACAATAACCGTCGCATTTTTATTATCCTACTAATTTAGAACTATGGATTATTAGACAATCTTATAACAATTATTTTCATGTACTGATTACTTCTTTTTCGTGACGAATCCTATTGGTATTCGTACATATTGTTGTAATTTATTTTGCACTAATTAAGTCAATATTACGCACAAGGTTATTCAAAACAGTTGTCGTAAACATGGTGATTATAGAGGCTTTTATCTTAAACGTAATTTAGTAATGATCTAGTACAATGTTTCAAAACAAATTATAAATTAAATATTGATATACGTTAGAGGGTGTTGTGAAACTTATTCAGTCAAAACACTTTCGTACGGGTGGTTGTTTTAATAACAGCTGAAGATGGTTTCTATAATGTTATTGACAACGGAAGAAGTGTTGCAACGAAACGGATACTGGTATTGTTTGGACACTACTTGGATTACAGTTGAAATGGAACCATTTGAGGAAGTAAAGCCGGAGCATTTTTATTCGAAGCCGCTTTCTCGGGACGTTTACTATACCAAATATCCGGATATACCGAGAAGTGAATCCGAAGATGAGAATCCAATAACTGTGACCGGTTTTCAATCCAAACATGAAGAGTGGAAATCGAAGATACGCATCAGGAAACTTGAGTCGCGTAAACGATATTCGAGTCAATCTAACTACAGCGTCAAATCATCGAACAGCAGTCCATCGGTTTTATGTAACAACACTACGACTAGAGTCACATCGCTTGTGCATAAGCCTCAAGAGCAATCAATTTCTGTTAATAATGACAGTAAAGTACGTGCATTTTTCCAACGCCTCCTCAAAAGCGTTCCTCCGCCTCCAGTCGAAGACTTAGCAGAAGCTAAAAGATGTTCCATAATGGATCCACCGGAACAAGACAAAGATTTTAACTCCATCGATGTACCTGATTATGCAGAATTTGAGAATGATAAAATACTCAATCTTCACCATGAAAAGAGCCTAGTTCCCCGTACTTCTACATTAAAAAGGAAACAACGTAAAGTGACCTTTAACACGGACTCATCCAGGTGTAGCTCCTGGTATGAAACTATTTATGGCGTCTCCGATATGATTGGATCAAGGGAATCGCTTTTACGTGCGTCTAGTAGCAGTCTTGTACCTGAAATAAAACCTAAAGAAGTTGTTATAGATTCTCGTAAATCGAATGGTTCTTTATCGTGGTCTGATCTGATAAAATCGTGCGGGGTCGGCGATTCTATTTTGAACAGCACTGAATCTCTGCACAAAGACGATATTGTCAGTCGCTCTCATTGTGCGAATGATAAAGTATTCGACATATCTTCAGAAGATGATGAAACGGAATACGCAAAATTCGCTGTACATAAAATTTGTCAAACATTAAAGATACAGAGTGGGATTATAGATTCATCATCGATGAATGATTTGAATAACGTGGAACAATTGAAAAATCACATCACAAAACTTGATCCGACATTTCATAGTGTTTTATATCGTTTGACCCCTAAAGATATAGATGAATCTTTAAATATGACATCAAATTAGTTTTTGAATATGTTACGTATTAATAAATAATTAGAAATAGATGATTTTAGATTAAATTTGTTTTTTATTTCCTATCTGCTTCAACAACGTACTGATCTAGGTACACATTTTTTTACATTGTTTAATTCGCTTTTAATAGTATATTGATTGTGTATTTGTTTTGTCACAGCCCCCTGAGAACGAGTTGCAGAAGAATTCGGACCGCGTCCTCTCCGAGCACGAACTGCGAGTCCAGAGGTCACTACAGAAGCTCAATGTACCCGAATGGTAAGTCAAATTATATTATAACCTAGGAATATCTTCTGAATATTGGTAGCCAAGGTATCAGCCATTGAGCTACATATGTGGTATCGCAGTCCGGTGATAAACGGGGATTAATTTTTTTTTATTCTAAAGATCATGCTTATCATGTGGCCAATATTTATAATAGGAAACTGACAAGTCGTCTACGAGTTATCTACAGGGGTATACCTCTCAGCCCTTCGGCGACGCCTTAATAGTAGGCAATTTTTGTTTTCTACGACATAATAGAAAAACGCATAGAATACTGCGTTTTCGAATCTAGAATAGTCGCAATAGAGTCTTTGAGTGTTATTATTGAGATATGGACGAGTCAGTTTTAGAATTTTTTGGTCAGATTAAACAAAAGAACGAGATGCAAAGGATCATTTACTTTTTAATACCTTCAGAGAACATCTCAAGAGATGCTGAGTGTGGATTACAAATCCTTACAAGTATTGTAATACGCTCTTGTCCTCAAATTATTCTCGTTATTCTCTAATACATATTTAATCCATAGAAATATTAACTTACAAGCTTTCGCCTGCGACTCCATGTGCGTGTAACTAAAAAAACATAATAGCCTATGCATATTTCCAGACTATGCTCTACATCTACACCAAATTTAGGCGACAAACTCTTAAGAAGCATTCATCCATGCATTAATATATTTTAGAATTATATTTCGTTAGTATTTATAACCTCAATTTTCGTATTGAAATAAACATACTAATACTAATATTATAAATGCGAAATTTTAGATAGATGGATGAATAAACGACTGAACGGATTACGAAGAAATTTAGTAGAGATGTAGAGGATAGTCTGGAAAACACATAGACTACTCACTTTTGTTTTTTTTTAAATCCACGCGGACGGAGCCGCTGGTGAAAACTAGTAATTTAATAAAATCTGTTATTTTTTCACGTAATAGTGTAAATTTAAGGATTAAAATTATCAACGGAAACAGTTTAAAAGTATATGTATTTTTGTATGGTAAAAATATAAACCTGAACCATTTATCAATGCTATCAAGCAGTTTCGTGTGATAAGGTAATTAGTTTCTGTTATTTAGGTCATTTATGTTGGTCTAATACTAACTGTTACATGCGATTACTGAATTCCATGTTTTTTTAATATGTAATAACGAGGCTATTTTTTGTCAACAGGCCGTAAGGGCTAGCTTTTTTTTAGCATTCCAATGCGCACTTGTTTCGTGAAAAATTAAAAAAAAAACAGTTATGTTTAACCTCATTATAATATCCCATACAATCTTCAGTTATGGTTTCTCACGCGATTCACCGGCTGCCCTTTATTACTGTTAACTGTGTCAATTAGAGCTAGGACTTGCGTTCATTAGACCACGTCGATGGACACATACAGCTATAGCGACATAAACAATGGCTGTTGCTCGCGACATCGTCCACGTAATAAAAAAATAGCCTATGTTACTCAGCGATAACGTAGCTTTCTAATGGTGAAATAATTTTTGACATAGGTCCTGTAGTTATTGAGTTTTTTAGAAATACAAAATCTTTTCTCATTGTAATATTAGTACAGGTAATATATAACTATACCATTTATTTCATTTGTTTAGATTTGTTTATGTGGAAATATTGATAAATGAGTATGTAAAGATTAATTGTAAATCCCTTACAAATTTAACATTTTAAAGATGTCTTCAACTAGAAATAATTTAGCTTAAATAGCGACAAAAGTAAATTTTTATGCAGTAAGTAATGAAAATACATAGTTATTTGTATGTAAAAACTACTTTATTATTGAAGGGTGTAGTCAGGAGATAAGACAATTAGTCTAGATTAGATCTACTTTACGCTATCACGTTTTTTCGATTACGATAAACGTCGCGCCCAATTTGTTTCTAATTTTAGCTTCGACAGATATACGTTTTATATGAGCTATGTTTGTTATAACTGTAACACGAATGTTTCTACATTCGATTTCCATTAAATAACATTAGTAGGAAACATGTTTCGGCAAATTCAAACTACTCAATACCAATTTAAACTAAATCCTTTCAAATAGCAACTGCTGGTTTAATAATTCTTTAATTAACTTGCACTTATATACTTTACTTTACTTTTTAATATAAGAAATATGTAATTTATTATAGGTACAAGAACGCGCCCGCCGCGCGCGAGGGTTTCCTACTTCGAAAGCGGTTGTCGGACGCATCGTCGGCGGCACGTTGGGGCGGTCTCAATTCCAAGACCACGTCGCTGGGCAGCCTGGGCGCCGGCGCGCAGCCGCCCCCTCCACAGCTCTCACCGCATACCACCAGCTTCGGCAGGTGGTCTACCAGCAGGCTTAATTCTAATCAAGTATGTCTTCTCATCAACAACTGCTTTAACAATTCCTTACCGATTAACTAATTGTAGCAAAAATTATGCTGGCTGTAAATTGGATTGAAATTAAATTATACTTGAGTCATCAGAATATTGGTCTGATTAATAATTTTTCGATAAAACCCAAAACATTACAGTATGTGTTCTCGCATTAAGAGAATGGCTACAAAGGTAGGGGAAGACCGAAGAAAGTATGGGTGAATTGTGTGAAAGAGCATATGCTTAAGAAAGAAGTGGATTCAGATATGACGGCTGATAGAGATGTATGGAAGAGCAGCATATACTGTGCCGTCCCTCTAAGGGAAAAGGGCAAGTTGATGATGATTTTCAATGCTGAATTAACTTGTTGTGTTCCAGACGTCTCCATGTTCGTCTACTCGCAGCAGCGTGCGCGGCGGCAGCCCGCTGTGCTCGCCGTCCGCGCGCTCCTCCTTCAGCGCACGCCAGCCGTACCTGGGCTGGCGCAGCCAGGAGCGCCTCAACACCACACCGAGGACGCCACACGAGAGGTAACACTATGCCTAATTTGCTTGAGAATTTTGAACATGAACTTGGTGGACCTTATAAATAAATAAAACATTATGTTTTAACTTATGTGTTGGTTTACAGGCTAGCATCATCCCTGCTGCAGCAGTCCAGCGCGTCGGCGAAAGCGTCGGAGGAGATCCAGTCGTCGATTAAGGAGGTGACGTCAGCGATCGTGCACTACGTGTCGGGCCTGGAGCCCGCCAACGGCGACCTCGACCTCCAGCCCTCGCCGCGATCCAGTCAGAAACTCTACTGGCTAGAGAGCTCCTTTGTTGGTACGTTAGCTTAATGCTTGCTTATGTCATACATCATTTCCTACGACGTTTTCAAATACTAGCTTTCGCCCTTGACTCCGTCTGCGTCGATTTTAAGTAAGTAGCCTACGTGTTCTTCAAGAATATGCTCTACATCTATGCTAAATTTCAGAGATCAGTTCTGACTACAAACTCTAACAAACATCCATCTAACCACTTAAACTTTTGCATTTATAATATTAGAATTATGGTGTTTTTCCAGGTACGAAGCCATTAGATTCCCCGCAAACGCCGCTGGTGGTGACGGAGGTGCTGCCCCCGCCGCACCCCCGCCCGCCCTCCTCGCTGCGCCTCGAGCACCGCGCCGCGCCCGGTGAGCGAGCGTGACCACCACCCCCTACACTGCAGGCTTAGATACATCTCGCACAAACATTCCGAACTAACCGAGCAATGGTTAATCAACACATTGTTACGTTCGTAACCAACAATCATTTAGGGCTGGCACGTTAGCAAATTCAAGAGTATGAATATCTTCTTAATAGAAAATTTATTGCATTTAAAGTTTTTAATCCAAACCTGCAGTGTATTTTGTTATGGTAATACTTTTGTGAGATAATTTTTGTGCTGTTTGCCTTTTTTTAGTTATTTTGCGACGTAATGTGAACAAGCAATAAATATTGTCATTATGTTTGTAAGCTTTATAGAGTTTAAGACTCAGGACCATTGTCATGTACGGTGTGAAATTTGTGACATTTCTGCACTTTTTGACGGAGGAAATTTTAATTGTTTTGTAATGTTGTCATGACAACACAGCACTGGCTTGTAGTTGGCTTAAGTTTTTGTTGTGGCTTGAAATTCTTCCCACGATTCATATTAGAGCATAAATCATTTTTGTTAATAATGTAATGTTGCTAGTACAATTAGCGTGACATTGTGAAACCCGCCAAAATGTTTTTTTTTCTATTATTTAAATATAAATATAATTAAGAATAGGTAAATGCGATGATGCATTTCTATTTAAACTATTTTTGAGTCTAATGTTATCTATGAACATATCATTTTATTAAATCATAATAGATTAAAAATTTTCATGATTATTGTATTGCCATATTTGCAATAGTAATCAGATCGAGAACCAGTTAAATGTTTGAACATGTATTCATTGTACAGCGTAAATTATTTTGTTTGTGCGTATTCTAAATTCAAATCTTTAGCATTTAGTTTGTATGCTAGTGAAATACATAGATTTGTAAATAATTTATCATGTTGCTATATTTTATTTTAGGTGCTAAAAAATCTGTTACCTACTTATATTTAGAAATATTTCAAAATATGTATCCATTTATAATAGACAGTAAAAAATGTCACAAAAATGTTGTTTGCCTCAAAATATAAGATTACATTAATGGCAGTTATCAGAACCATAAACAAAGTGTGATGGAGAGGTCACATACATTCTGACTGAAATCTAAATATTTAAGTTCCTTCTACTTAAATCACCTCGTAATTTATATTTGGGGGTCAGCAGGTCCCTAAGTAAATTATACAGGTTCTGATTAGGTTAGAATCATTCGATTTGTGCTCAAAATTCGCACCGAAAAATTATAACCGAAATTAAAATGTCGAATTTGTTTAACGAAGCCTTTCCTTGACCTCTATAACGATAAATATATCGTTGTTTGGATTTAAAATATCTAGAACGTTCTTTATCGAGTAAACTTTTAACGGAAAGGCATTTTTATAAACAAATTATAGATTTTTGCAATAGATTGTTCCGTAGCTCTCTATGTTTCTTTACAAGCACATTTGTCTGTTATAGTACCTAAAATGTATTTTTTTATACGTAGAAATATCAATATTTAGAGAATCTCGGTACCTACATGTAATTAGAAATCATAAATGTTATTTTTTTAATTTTAACATCAATCATTCTTTACATCAATGTAATTTAGTTACATTATAATTATAACAATTTATGAATATATTCAGTTTATTTTATCTTTTTTTGTTTTATTTTTTTATTTCTGTGCCGTCTTATATTTTAATTTTAATGGATGAATTGAAATTGTCATCCATTTTTAATTCGTTCAGCAAGTATTATACGAATATTTTTCACATAATTATTGATTTTTAGTTTAAACGAAGATCATCTGATATGGTAAGTAAAAAATTACGTCTTGTATTTAGCATAGTTTAAATTTTTTTTAAAGTAAATAATTCGATAACTAGTTAATACTTTTCATCTTCCATTTATTTTCATTGCTAACTAACAAGTGAATAACCTCAACACAAGCATTTATGTATCTGCAAATACTATGTTACAAAAGTATAACATTCATAATTGAAGCCCGATTTGAGTTGGCGTTTGCTTCGCCCATGAAATATGATTTGTGCACTTTATTTTCTACTCGGTGAATATTTTACAATGAAAAATCTCGCTCATAAATAAAAAAATAAAAAACTAATACGAATTTCGTTCGGTTTTTGCTACTTTTTAAATCTAATTTGCATTTAACTTTTAATATCCAATCGAGATTGCAGGCTACCATTAAAATTGAATCTACATTTTCGTATCAATTAAAAATAATAAAGTAAGAAATAAAAACGTATTTGCAGATTGGCAAGAAAGCCAACGTCCCTTGAACCTCGGCCTGAGTAGGCCCTCGCCCAGCTCCACCACTCTAGAGGACGTGTTGGACTCCCTTCTCGGCCTGCCCTCGCAGCCCGCCAGGATACCCACTCCGCAGCCTAGCCCTAGGAAGAGTCCCTATTATTTTATGGGAGGGAAGGTAACACATTCACGTAAATTAAATTCCCATTCCTTTCCCCTTTCATGTATATTCCCATGAATTAAGAAAGTATTTAGTATGCAAAATGCTATTATCGTCGTAGAAGATTTTTTTGGGGGATCTAGAAGTAGTAAAAGCTCCCAGTAGGCAAGGCTCGTATCGCTTGTGTTCCCAGAGTCCCCGCTACGAACAGCTGACCAGTAGCGGGCACAGCAGCGCCTCGGCCGCCTCCCGCCTCGTCAGCACGCCCAGCGAGCCCAGCTCCCTCACAGACCCCAGCCCCGACCGACAAGGTAGGACTGATATGTAAGTCTGAGCGTTCCAATTTTTATATTTCTCTTATCCTTCACGCTTCTACCTCCGTCTGTCTCACTACTCTACCGGTCCCATTTTATTGGCAAATTTAATTTGTAAAATCGTTTTAAAATTGTATTCTTTTTCACGTGCGCACGGTTCAAGGTAAGACTGTATTTTCTATGGGCCACGTAAGCATGATTGTCTTGGCAAATGAACGTTTGTTTTATGTCTCGCTCAATGGTCCTGAGTCTTTTGATGTTTTTTCTCAATAAATATAAGCAAATTCA